ACGACTTCATCGACGTCATCTGCTCTTTTCTCTCCCAGGTACTCTTCTTTCTTTTCTTCCTCCTCTTCTTTTTCTTCTTCTAATTCTTCTGATCTTCATCTGCTCTTCTTTCTTTTCTTCCTACTCTTCTTTCTTTTCTTCCTCCTCTTTTCTCTGCTTTCTTTAAAAAAAAAAATTATCAATCAAATTTGAAAAAATATTGCATGAATGTGAAAGTTTCCAATGAAGATATACTTAACTAGAATTTCTTCTTATCAATTTTGATATATTTCAATCTCAAAATGCCCTGAGTAATGATTCTGAAGAGTGTGTCATTTTTTAATCAAGAATGTCATATTTACTGGTTATTTTTAAAAAAATGACACTTTTATGTCATTCAAGTCTGTGCAGCCTCCGATGAGAATGCCACTTGATATGAATAAATGACAAAATAATGACATTATCTTATGAACATATGTCATTTTCAGATTGTCATCCTGATAAATGTACTGCTACAAACATGACAATTTTTTCAAATACTAGTAAGACTTTTGACATTCTCAGATTATAAAAGTGACATTTTGCTTATGAAGTAAAATTCAAATCCAAAAAATCCAAATTAGTAAATAAAATTCAAATCCAAAGAAGAAAAAGAAGAAGAGAATAGAGGACTAGATAATTGAAGAGGATTAGAAGATGAAGAAGAAGAAGAAGAAGAAGCAAAAAATAAGAAGACCATAAATTTGAAGAAGAAGAGGAAGATGAAGAAGCAGAGGACTTACCTGGCTGCCTATGCGATGGGAGGCCAGAGTCGATGACGAGCTCAGATCCATGGGAGGAAGAGATGTTTGCGATGAATTGCAGAAGATGGCAACATCTGTGCAATGTTACAGCATCAGAGGCTATTTCCGTCCAAATGCAAATATTTACTCCTATTTAGAGAATTTAAAACAATGAGTCCTAGTTTTGCAATTACCTCCTGTTTTACTCCCATTTTGACGATTTTCTCAATAACATACGCAGAGGAGAGCCGACGTCTTCTTCCTAAAACAATTCTGGCAACGCATGGGAAGATCGGCAGCACTTCCCTCGGCGACGGAAGCTAGTCAGGCGGCTCACGTACCCCTCCGTGAATACACGACAGTCCCTAAGGCGAGTGACGGCATGGCGAAAGGCTTATCTTCTCTGGCGAAAGAAGTACGGCGGACCTCCTTCCGTGCTCCGACGAGCTCCTCCTCCGGTGACTGGTTCAGTGAGTTGCTGCGATCAACATTCAGCGGCAACAGTCGGGTCCGATGGCAGAAACTCCGGCTTCTCCTCTTCCTCCGACGTGAACCAGTCCGGCGTACAAGTGGGTCTTCTTCTCCGGCGAGTCCTCCCACTTCTCCCGCGTTCAGTGGCGTACATAAAAGGCTTCCCAGGCTCCCGTAGTCTTTCGTTCCTATGATGATTCGGTACAGGTTCGACCCGCAGTTCCGTAGTCACTTCGGCGGTGAGGTTAAGTTACGTATGTTTTGCTTTTCCTTCCTAAGCATTAAGCTACACATGCATTTTTTCTTCTAAGCAAACCCAACAAGCCCAACACTAGCGACTTTTCTTTCCGGTGTAAAACCAGTCCGGCTCGCCGTGAAACCATTCCGGCTACCAGCGACTCCCCTTTGAACGACTCACCCTCTTTTTCCTTTTTTCTCGTTCCTTCTCTCTTTCTTTCACGTTTCTTTTATTTTCTTTTCTTTCTTCGAACTCTCTTTTTCTTTGTTTTGTATCTTAGCTTCTCACGCAGACTTGATATATATTAGGTTCGTAGGTTTTAGTTTGGCTTGAGATGGCGTATATAATTTTGCTCTAAGTCTTTTGGTTATTAGGTCCACAGTTTCATATGCTTCCAAACCTTATCACATGTATATAGCTAGCCTTGTGTCTCAAATACATTTAATTTGGTGTGTACTACCAGGTTCATTATTGAAATATTATTATGGAGGTGCTGAATAAGGAAAAGACAACTGAGCTATGCGAATTACTATTCATTAATATTGCTTCGTATTTATTCGTATCACAGTAGTGTTCATCCGTATTATTATTATGCATGCATGTGCGGTGTATTATTATTGGCAAGGCAAGTGGATATGGAGGACATTTACATGGGGTACACGTTCCATTAATCACCATAGTCACAATCAGTGGAGGAGCTGGGGGGGGGGGGGGGGCAAGGGGGGGGGCAAGCGCTCCCGCTCCGACTAATTTTTTTTACTAGTATTACTTATAATATGTTTCTTGCCCCGACTTCTTTTTTAATTTTAAAAACAATAAGTACAACTTAAGGTTATTTTAAGATGAAGTGTTAAAATAAATAAAAAAGTATTTTCAGAAAAAGTAAAAAAAAATGAAATATAGAATAAAAGGGGATTAATGAGTCAATGAGACAAATGAGCATCTAGTCTAAGGCTAAGTAAAAAAAACGGGCATAAGTAAAAAAATGAAAAAAAAAACATTTCTAAAGCCCAAGCCACCTAGACAATCCTAAAGCCTAAGCCCAAAAATGAAAAAAATAACAATTCAAAACGTAATCACTAAAGTCTAAAGCCATTAAGTGGGTTAAAAATTCAAAGTTTCATTAACAAAAGACCTAGGCAGTCGGCAGTCCCTTCCCACTCCGCCAAAAAAAATGAATCGAGCAGTTGAGAACGCAGGCAGGCAGCGAACGTGAGAACTGAGAAGCAGCATCGCCCGCTCCCTCTCCGGCTTTACTCCCCAACAGAAATCTACCTTCCTTCTCCAGTTAGTTCTCACTTCTCCCCATTTGTTATCAGATTCTGCAATTTTCAAGTAAGTTTCTCATCTGCCAATTTATGCCCATATTAATTATTTGCTCTCATCCCTAACGAAAAGTCAGAAATTATTTGTGTGAATCCTCAAATCTCAGTTCTAGATGCAATTTAATGCTATTTGTATAAGGAACATTTTTAATTCATACTTATTTTTGTTATATTTAGGAGTATGAGTTTGGATAAATTTGTAATTAAGACTAAGAGGTCTTTGATTGGAGGTGTTAGTTCTTCAATTGTTCCTAATCACTCTATCTCTAGTGTTGAAAATGCCACTGCGTCAAATGAAAATATTGCTAGAGATGAGAGGAATGAGAGGGACAAGAGAGCCCGAACAGAAAGTACACATGAATGGAATATTATTAGTGATCCATTTTTACGAAAACCAATTAATGAATATGCGCCGGGGATTAGGGATGATGTGATGAGAGCATATGTTGTTAAAGGTGCTTGTCAACCAGCATCTCATAAGTTTCCACGAACTGAATTTGGTAAGACATTAAGGAGCTTTCGAGGAGAGTGATTTAAAACTTGGGAATGGTTAGAATATAGTATTTCTAAAGATGCCGCTTTTTGTTTTTGGTGTTATCTTTTTCATGGGCATGAAGGAAAGAGATTTGGTGATGATGTGTTTGTGAGGACCGGATTCCGTAATTGGAAGAAAGCTCCTGAAAAATTTAGAGATCATGTTGGTATTGTAGAGAGTGTGCACAATGATGCTAGAACACAATTTTTTGCTTTCAAAAATCAAAAACAAAGTATTTCAAGAAGTCTCTCTTCAGGAACACAACTGTTGGACACGAACTTTAAAATTTTTAGTCTTTGGTTTGCCCCTCCTTGGACAAACCTCTGGCTCCGCCACTGGTCACAATTATATGGAAACACATGTGAGTGTGCAGCGGTACGACTCGTATTATGTGTGATATATTGATATATGTACTTTGTATATTATTGCTATCACATGGCATATAATTGTTCTACGAGTATGTAATATCATATGCATTATTATTAGACTTTAAAAGTCAACTCTTTTAACATTTTTATTTTTGTGTGGTATTTTTGCACACATTTTATTTAATCATATTAAAGCATCGTTTTTATTATTTGTGTCATATGTATAGTTATCACTTGTCACAAAAGTGTCACTTTTGTTACTTAAGTCAAGGTCCTATCTGATCAACATAATTATTATAAAAATGTCACTTTTATTATTAGAACATTTTTATCTTATTAAAAATGTCACCAATGTCAAGATTTTATCTGATTCACTTAAAAAAGTCACTTCCATGACCTTTTATCTGACTAATAAAATTATTTATTTTGTTTAAATTTTTCGGTGTATCACAATCTACCCTCCTTAAAAGATGCTCATCCCGAAGCATAAGCTAAGAAGGTATCCACAAATACAATTAGCAGGTATCACATGTTAGTAAATATTAAATTCTTTTTTTATTAATATTACTATTATTTTTTAAATTCTTTTTATTAAATTTAAAGAGTGTCACATTCTACCATCCTTAAAAGAATGCTTCGTCCCGAAGGACATAACTTACTTAAGAAAATAGATTATTCATCTAAGATCAAAACGATACATAATCCTCAAAGAGAATAATATTGAAAATTAGAAATTTTATCTGATTTCGCATACTATTTTCGGATTCTTCCATTGCGTTTTGCATTCTATCCATGACGATTGAGTCCACGAGTTGGAGGGATTCCCTTCTTCCTGGAATGACACTCGAACACCCTGTGCCCTAACTTGCACAATGAAAACATCGTACGAGTGTTCCATCACAGTATTTTCCGGGGTGATTTTTTCCACAATTCGAGCAATAGAAGTGCGCCTTTTGGTGGAGTTCTTCTTCTTACGCTTCTGGTGTTGGCCTTGGTTGTTAATCTTTTTCCCGTTTCGGGTCTCCCCTGGCCGATTTAATTTGTGCCGTTTGTCTCCCCTTTTGGTGTCTTCTTTGGTGCCCCTCCTTGCTCTCTTGAGTGTTTCCTTTTGGAGTTGTTGCACTGGATAGTGCTTGGCAGCTTTGACGTAGGTCTGATTCAGAGTTTCGCATCCTGAAACGCAAAGAGATTTTTGTGTCTCGAATTTCAGACAGCGTATAAATTTGCTCATTTTATCGATTTCATTGGGAACTAGTGTTGGTGCAAGTCGTGCGAGATTCAAGAATTTAGTGTGGTACTCTTGGACAGTCATACCCACTTGCTTCAAGTGTAAGAATTTCTCATACTTCTCATCCCTCACGTGCTCTGAGTAGAATCTTTCACGCAATATCTTCTTAAACGTCTCCCAAGAAAAGTCAGGTTGTTGCTGCAACGTTGGGGCTGTCGTGGCCCACCAGTTGTCCGCCTCTTGACTAGATAGTATGCAGCTGTATTATTTTGTTGATCTGCAGGGCAATTTATAGCCTCGAAAAGTTTGTCGAAAGTGCGAATCCAATCCTCAAGGATGAGAGGGTCTTCTTGGCCTAAATAACACGGGGGATTGCGCTTCGCTACAAGTTTCGCAACATCATTGCGGTTATATAGACGTTGTTGGTGTTGATTCTGAGTTACCACATTCCCGATAGTCTGGACGAGTTGAGCCATATTTTGAGCCAACTCCGCGTTCGTCGGTGCGGCGACATTGTCTTCCACTTTGTTCCATGTTGACTTCATTGTCTACTTGAAAGAATAATGTTTAGGATACGAAGTATATCGAATGACATTCACAATTATACTACCTTACCTAATAACTCACTACTCTTGGTACCTTCCTCTAAAAGTTCAAAGTCATTCTCAAATGAGTCAATAAGGATATATATATATATATATATATATATATATATATATATATATATATATATATATATATATATATATATATATATATAGGGGTGAGTTCTAATATAAAGAGGTCTTCCCATGAAAAGTGAGAACTAATCTAAGCACTTGATTACTTAAAAATGGATGGTATAGATAAAAAACTCACGATCAACAAAAATGTGTAATACATAATAGCAAAAGTGCATATGCAATATGTAATGGTGCACATTCAACTTCTAAAAAAACATCAGGAACGATCTTTATACTTGTTATGTTTTTCCCAAAAAGTAATGCACTTTATTGTTACTCTAATGCATTTTTCCTCCGTAGTGATGCACATTTGTCACGTTAGTTTTCAAAAAAGTTTTTAATAATTACACTTTTGGCACTGAATTTTTCCCTTAAAAATTGATCTGATCCACTCGTTTTCTCATTTTAACGGCTATATATATATATATATATATATATATATATATATATATATATATATATATATATATATATATCATATAAGTATAACTCAAACAATCTAAAGAACCATAAACTCCACCAAAATAAAAATTTAAAACCTCACGTTCTCACTGCGGTCCTAAACGTTTTTTTTTACTTATTCCATAATAATTTAATTTCCTAGTATTTTGGAGAATACTTTGAAAATGTCCCCTTGATAACTTTTCTTTTTCTTTCTAGAAAACATTTTTTTTAAATCTTTGATACCAATTTGTAACACCCCCAAATTTCTCACCCAAAAATACATTTAAGTAATGATTTGTTTGAAAACATCGGAATTGTGTAGCGGAAAATTCAAAGGGAAACAGGGGCGTTACCGTCACACTCGGTTCTCACATAACCGAGTGCACAGGCTATCCACCACCAATAATAAAAAATTTCCATATTTAATTGTTCAACTACAATTTTATAAAATTAAGACTAAATAAATTACTCAATCAACTTTAGTCTATGTGTTCTAGCGGAAGCTCTCGAAATCAACTTCAACATGATCCTCAATTCCTGCACAGATAAAGTACAGAAAGAAAACACGAAGAAACAAAAATTAGCTAGAAATGCTAAGTAAGGCCCACCCAACCCTGTAAAATAATCAGGTTTGATACATATATACATTTTTGTAAAACCTTTGGAAGGAAACCTTTTAAAACACTCCATATCAATCGTAAGTAAACATAACAATATTTCAAATATAGATTAATATTTCCAACATGATAATTACGAAATACTAACTATACATAATTTATCCAAAATCCTCATAAATATTCTAAAACATAAATCATACGTAAAAACTCCAAATTTCATCTCAAAACTTACATAAACACTTTATTAAAATCCTTCCAAAAACTCATAACTAATATTCGCAAATATGTTTTCCAAACCAATATCACAAGTATTTGTACTTTAAAAATTCACAATTTATATAATGATTCAATAAATCTTAAATTCAATTACATTCAATCCACCTCAAACTCAATATAACCTCAAATCCGATTTAATCTCAAATCCAATCAAATCCAATTCACCTCCAGACCAATCAAGTCTTGTCAAATAATCCAAATCACCTCAAGTCTAATGAAATTCACCTCAAAGCCTCAAAAACCAATAGAAGCCGAACTCCTACCTTAAGTGTGCACACCCCCTAAAAGGGATTCCACTCCCTCCGCACCTCATCGTCGCCGACATAACTCTCCCCCACTGCCTCTGCACGTCGGTGCAGCCGCAACGGTGCTATTGCCGCTGCAATTGCTGGCCGATACTATTCTCGAAATGTCTCATGGCTTGCTATGGATCGACGCTTGCTCAAGTCTGGTGTACAAAAATATGCTTTGGGAGATGCTGCTACGGGCCATCCTGGAATGCTGAAACGGGACGATTTCTTTAATTAGGTGTCTAAAGTGGAGCAGAGCAGACCGGAGTTAATTAAAGTGATATCACAATCACAAATATTATCATTATAAATATTGTCGCAATAATCAATGTCATATAATTTTAAGCGTTATCAAAATATAGAAAAAATGTTACAATGTCATAGAAATATCACAAACAACAACGACAATTCAATGTTATAAAAATGACATTTTAATAATGACAATGTCATTGACTATATGACATTGTCAATTCTATAAAAATTGACTAAAACGGTGTTCTTATGTGACAATGTCATAAAAATGGCATTGTAATAATATCACTTCCCTGCATGTTTCTTTGTCTTCGGATCCGATCCGATTTGAAATTTCACCAAGATACCCGATTGAGTATAGATGATACTCGACCGGGTATAGATCAAAAAATCAGGATCTTCCCTTTGTCTTGTAATTTTGCACCTTCCTTCCACTTTTGGGGTTCACCAACTGTCCTTTGAGTGATAATAGACCTGTTTGAGCTCAGAATAAACCTAATCTAAACAATTTACAAGAATTTAACAAACTAAACTATTACACCAAAAATGTGTAATTTCCAAAGTAAAAAGCAATCAAAACTACTTAAAATCACAAACATAAACATGGAATTTACATGATTATCGGGAATAGTACGTAAAAATGTAATAAGGAGGGTATGAATAACATACGCAGAGGAGAGCCGACGTCTTCTTCCTAAAACAATTTTGGCAACGCAGGGGAAGATCGACAGCACTTCCCTCGGCGATGGAAGCTAGTCAGGCGGCTCACGTACCCCTCCGTTAAAACACGACAGTCCCTCAGGCGAGTGACGCCATGGCGAAAGGCTGATCTTCTCCGGCGAAAGAAGTACGACGGACCTCCTTCCGTGCTCCGACGAGCTCCTCCTCCGGTGACTGGTTCAGTGGGTTGCTGCAATCGACATTAAGCGGCAGCAGTCAGGTCCGGTGGCAGAAACTCCGGTTTCTCCTCTTCCTCCGACGTGAACCAGTTCGGCGTACAAGTGGGTCTTCTTCTCCGGCGAGTCCTCCCACTTCTCCAGCGTCGAGTGGCGTACATAAAAGGCTTCCCAGGCTCCCGTAGACTTCCGTTCCTATGATGATTCGGTACAGGTTCGACCCGCAGTTCCGTAGTCACTTCGGCAGTGAGGTTAAGTTACGTATGTTTTGCTTTTCCTTCCTAAGCATTAAGCTACACATGCATTTTTTCTTCTAAGCAAACCCAACAAGCCCAACGCTAGCGACTTTTCTTTCTGGTGTAAAACCAGTCCGGCTCGCCGTGAAACCAGTCCGACTACCGGCGACTCCCCTTTGAACGACTCACCCTCTTTTTCCTTTTTTCTCGTTCCTTCTCTCTTTCTTTCACGTTTCTTTTATTTTCTTTTCTTTCTTCGAACTCTCTTTTTCTTTGTTTTGTATCTTAGCTTCTCATGCAGAATTAATATATATTAGGTTCGTAGGTTTTAGTTTGGCTTGAGATGGCGTATATAATTTTGCTCTAAGTCTTTTGGTTATTAGGTCCACAGTTTCATATGCTTCCAAACCTTATCACATGTATATAGCTAGCCTTGTGTCTCAAATACATTTAATTTGGTGTGTACTACCAGGTTCATTATTGAAATATTATTATGGAGGTGCTGAATAAGGAAAAGACAACTGAGCTATGCGAATTACTATTCATTAATATTGCTCCGTATTTATTCGTATCACAGTAGTGTTCATCCCTATTATTATTATGCATGCATGTGCGGTGTATTATTATTGGCAAGACAAGTGGATATGGAGGACATTTACATGGGGTACACGTTCCATTAATCACCATAGTCACAGTTATATGGAAACACATGTGAGTGTGCAGCGGTACGGCTCGTATTATGTGTGATATATTGATATATGTACTTTGTATATTATTGCTATCGCATGGCATATAATTGTTCTACGAGTATGTAATATCATATGCATTATTATTAGACTTTAAAAGTCAACTCTTTTAACATTTTTATTTTTGTGTGGTATTTTTGCACACATTTTATTTAATCATATTAAAGCATCGTTTTTATTATTTGTGTCATATGTATAGTTATCACTTGTCACAAAAGTGTCACTTTTGTTACTTAAGTCAAGGTCCTATCTGATCAACATAATTATTATAAAAATGTAACTTTTATTATTGGAACATTTTATCTTATTAAAAATGTCACCAATGTTAAGATTTATCTGATTCACTTAAAAATGTCACTTTCGTGACCTTTAATCTGACTAATAAAATTATTTATTTTGTTTAATTTTTTCGGTGTGTCACAGCGGTGGAGACCCTGACTACCGTTTTCCAAGGTATTATCCCTGATCCTGCTGGGAGGCCTCCTTCCCCCTCGAGCACCATCCATAGCTCACCAAGGTGGGGAGATATCTCCTCAACAGCAGAGGGGTTCTCCACCGGTCAGGTCTCAACGCTCCCGCCATTCTAGGATGACCCCGAGGATTCTTGTGACGAATCGAATGAGTGAACAACGAGTTTCTGTCCTCGAGAGGCTCTCCACTAGGGCCGAATGCAGTGAGGAAGCTTCTTCGGCCACCGTTTCGTCCCACCGCCGTAGTGCGTGCGGGGGAGATCTCCGGGATGAGATCAACGTGAATAGGCAGGCCCGAAAAGGTCGTTGATCTCCATCGCGCATCCAGGCGTGTCACAGGCTCACACCACAGCAACAACGACCTCAGGAGGAGACTGGACGAGCTCAGAAGGGAGATAGATGGTATAACCAATCACAATCATGATGTAAGAATCCCCGAGCCTTTCACGCGCCAGATTATGAGCGCACCATTACCACAGGGGTACAGTTCATACAACATTGAGGCCTACCAAGGGAAAACCGACCCCCAACATCATGTCTCCAGGTATGTAGCCTACATGGTTATGATGGAGCATGATGATGCCATCAAGTATAGGGGGTTCTCGGTGACTTTAGACGGGCCGGCCCGGGAGTGGTATGATTCTTTGTCAGATGGGAGGATAAGGAATTTTCAGGAGTTAGCACATGCGTTTGTGGCATGTTTTGCCACCTTTAAGGGTTCCAAGAAGAAAGTCTCACCTCTTGGGAATCAAGCAGGGCCCCCAAGAGACCCTGATTGATTTCCTAGTCCGCTGGAGGGATGAGTCAGTCAAGGTAGAGGATCTAGGTGACAAATCTGTTGTAGCTATTTTACCAATGCTCTGAGGTCGGGTGAGTTACACAAAGACTTCATACAAAAGCCCCCAACCTCACACGAGGAGGCCCTACTGCACGCGAACGCGCAAGCCGAAGTAGAGGAAGCCGAGAAGCGGAAGAGAGACGAGGACAATGGAAGGCTCCAACCTGATGGAGAAAAGAAAAAGAGCTCAAAAAAAGAGACCCAAGACCAAGATAAGGGGAACCAGTTAAAGAAGAAGAAGGGTTGGGGAAAGGGCAAATCAAATATTCCAGAAGGCCCATTATCTAGCCATCCTGAATTTCCAGTTAGCACGGTCCTGGATTACGTGGCGAAACAAGGTCTGATCACGATCCCTGAAGGCTGTAACGTCGTCAACAGTCAACCCCTCAGGGGTAAGTATTGCAAAGTTCATAAAAGCGATACCCATGAGACTGACGAGTGTTACATCCTGAAAAAACATGTGGAAAAGCTTGCCCGAGAAGGACAACTGGGCCAATTTGTGAAGAAAATATAGCAGGAACAACATCCGAGGAAAAACACCTGGAACAAGGGAAAAAATGAGCCGGCCTCAACCTCTAAAAAGAGGGAGGTCGGAGCCCAGTTTGAGGACGATGATAAAGGAGAGGATTCAGGCCGGCAAAAGCGCCCGCACGTCAACCAAATCTATGGCGAACCTGTCGGAGGAGACACCGCGGGAGAAAGAAAGAAGTGGAATCGACAACTATTCGTTGGGGAAATCAACCATCTTCCTGTTGAAAAAAGGCAGAAATGGGAATCCATTACTTTCATGGATGCCGATCTCCCCCCATGTCCCCCACCCCACAGAGATGCTTGGTTATAAAAATGGAGGTTATGGATGCAATTGTCCACAGAGTTCTCGTGGACAACGGAAGCTCAGTCAACATACTATACATGGATGCTTTCGTGGAGATCATGCTCCAGAAAGGAGCTCTCATACCGGTAAGAACTCCTCTTTCAGGTTTCACCGGAGACACGGTTGAGCCGGAAGGGATGATCACCCTCAAGATCAAGCTCGGATCAGAACCCTATGTCCGGGAAATCGAAACAGATTTCGTGGTTGTTCAGCTGCCTAGTGTTCACAAGGCCATCCTGGGCCGACCTCTACTGAAAGACCTGGGAGCCATTGTTTCCCAGGCACATCTGTGCATAAAGGTCTACGCATCGGCGGGAATTGGAACAGTAAGAGGGGACCAGAAGATGGCCAGGAGTTGCTATGTGAGAGCTTGCAAAGCTCACAGAAGAAGTGATATGAGGATCAATGCTATCAAACAAGACTTATTAGGATACGAGTATGGGCAGTCCAGAGCTCAGCCCATCTCAGAGTTGGGAGAGGTCTGCCAGCAAATTTGCCAAAAAATTGGAAGGGCCCTACAAGATCAAAGGGATGGTTGGGCCCAAAAACCATAAATTGTGTACTCCTAAGGGGAATCTGGGAGACGGATGTGGAATCGAGCGCAATTATTGAAATTCTACCAGTAAGCATGTAATTTCCTTTCCTTTCGAATTTTGATAAAGTTCCGTTTTCATTCACAAATGTCCTTTATGCATTACTTGCGAAGGTTTCTTAACCAGCCACAAAAAGGAGGCTACGCCTAATTGGTACTCGCAGAAAGATAAAGTACAAATTCCAAACTCATCTAAAGTTCTAAAAGCTCAACTTAGTCTTGTTAAAGACAAGAGCGTTGACAAAACAACATTTCTCAAGCTTAATCAGCCTTACAAACGAAGTCAAATTTCCTCAAACAGGAAAAGACAACATTTCTCAAGGTTCAGACTGACTTCACAGGGCTAAAGATGAAATTAAAGAAATTAACTTTGCACCGGAGAGGCTCACAAGCCTCGCCAATTAAAGAGGCTGCTCACCAAGGTCAAAGCAACCTAAAGTGAAGTCCACCAAATCTGGCTCAACTATTAAGAGCCTAAGGGTTTAAAATTTGTAATGTCATCCTTAACAAAGGAAAGACAACCTTGACCATAAATTCAAAGCAAAAATATGCTAAGGAAAGAGGTGAGTGAATACGGAAATCAGGAAGGCTTGAGGGCCATCCTGTGACCTATAAACTGCACAGGTCAACTCTCAGGAGGACAAAAGAATCCAAGGGAAGAAGCATGCCCGAATAGGGCCGGAAAACTCAAGCAGCGTTGAAATGCCAGATAGGTCAAGTCAAACAATCAGCAGAGGCGATAAAAGAGGTAACACGTACGAAAAAGCAGAAATAAAACGGAGTGTAAAGATGTTTGAAGTACAAGCCACCCCACTAGTGGAAAACCACAACAGGCGCGTAGGTCTGGAAAAGATGTCTGTAGAAGTGTTTTTAGAAGTAAGATCAATTACCAGATTGAGCAGGAGGAACTTCAGAGGCTTGGATGGTCATTAGGGGTGGGCAATAATCCCGATCCTGGTGTCCCAAATCGAAAAATCCCGGTACCGTTCCGAAATTATCCCGGTCCGTTTGGGATCCATTTTTTTCATCCCGAACCAGTCCCAAACCGATTTCAAATGGGACGGGACCGGGACAACTATAAAATGTTTCGTCCCATCCCGGTGTCCCGTTTCAAATTACTAGGTTATTTTAATTTTTTAATGCTATCTAATACGGTAATACCCAAGCCCAAATAAACTTTCTAGCCCAAGTCTGTAGACAAAATATCTAACCAATCTTAAGTTCTTCCCGCTTCAGAAGTTTGCTTTGCATCCATGTGCTGGAGAATTAACCGCCGGAGTGCTGAACCAAGCTGTTGACGAAAAGAAGATGTGAACTGGGATTGAGGGTCTCTGCCTCGACACCGCCGGAGAATAGCGACCATCGCGGCAAACTCTGAGGAACTCCGATCTCCGTGCGCTTCGGTTGATCGCACGACGAAGAAGAAACCTGCCTCCCCTGTTCCGCTGCAAAAGACAAGCTGACAAGGTATGTATGTGCTTATGGAGTTCTCAGTTCTGGTTATGGGACATTGATAATGCCTTAATTACTTATTGTTAAAATATATGAAGTATTTTACTAGGTTTGGAGCTAAAATTGATTAAGTCAATAAATTTTGCTAAATAAATCCTTACAGGCTTACAATTTTAACGTGATGTATATGTCTGCTAATATCTATCTCTCGAGATTTAGTGGAAGGGTAGAATGCCCATTTTGATTTTCAGTTTATTTATAGATTTGTACTCTGTAATATATATTATATATATATATATATGTGTGTGTGTGTGTGTGTGTGTGTGTGTGTGTGTGTGTGTGTTCTACATGAGGAGTGCT